TTGATGAAGACGACGAGCTTTTGCTGCAAAATGCATTTGAGTTTTTGACGCAAAGGTTTGCATCGAATGATGAGACAGACGTTGGAAGTGATGCCGAAAACAATGAGAACAACGATCATATGAAGGAAGAGTTGAATAATAAAACCAATGAATTGAATGACAACTCAAGTGATAATCAAAACGCGATAGAAATGATCACAACATATAAGACACGGAAACGAAAGTACACATCAATGAGACGCAAAGGCTATGACAGCGAATCTGAAGAATACGATTCTGGACTCAACGAAGACTGGGATGCAAACGTTCCGCACATAGAGTACGCATATAATACGGCAACGCATCGAACGACAGGTTATACACCGCATTACTTACTATTCGGCGACCACCCAATCGACACATTAGAAGTGGTACTCAAACTGCATCGACCCGAGGACGAGATCGAAAGACCGATGGCGTTCGGTAACCTCGAAATCAGCCGACGCATAGCTAAAGCGGCCGCAGAAAGAGTACAACTCGAAAACAAACGACGAGAAGACCCGAAACTACGAGAAGTCAACTATAAGATCGGAGAACAGGTGTTACTCCGCAGACCAGAGATTGAAAGGGCAAAGTTCAAGAAACTAAAGGATAGATATGCGGGCCCGTATTTAATAGTCGCTGAAATCGGCCCAAACAATTACATCATAACTGAACCGTCCGATCAATACTTTGATGTCGTGAATGTAGAAAGACTTCGACTATTTAAAGACCGAAACCAAGAAGACGACGACCAGATTCTGCCCGAACAGTTGCCGTTTCAATACAATGGCGTAATGAGACGTTGGGCTGGGATTGTAGAACACGATGAAGACATGGAAGCCGACAAATCGGGATCAGAAGAGCAAGAATTCGTGGAATTCGATGACGAGGAGGACACGGACACCGAATCGTCGATCCCGGAAGCAAATGTAAGTCCGCAATTGTTTGTGACCAGACGTGGGCGTGTCGTAAAGCCGCGACAGCGCCTGATTGAAGAAAATTAATATAATAATTGTTTGATTTTCGGCGACAAGTTTTATTGTTTATTTGTGTTTATATTTTGAATCAATCGTTAAGTGATTTTGTCGTCGAAAGTTGTCTAAAATATTAAAATTGTGTTATGTTTTAAAGTATTTAATCATCGTTTTTACTATAAATGTTTTAACTATTATTTGATGCGAGTGGTGACCAAATCATTGTCACATTCCGTCCGACACTATCACTTCCAGTGATTAATAAAGTTGTGATAAATAATTCAAAGTTCTAATCAACGAAAAACTAACGAAAAACCAAAGAAAAAGTGAAAAATAACTCGAAAAACGAAATAAAAATAATAAATTTTAATGTTAAGTATTTTTGATATAATGTTTACCGATATAATATACGTGTGATAAGCCAATCGAAGGCAGTTTTAAATGTGATTCGTCGACACTATTGCATAGCATTTCGTAAGCATTTCATAAAAGTTATGTAATGAAGAGAAGGAGAGTAATAATTGCCAAAAACTTGTTTCGAACACAAAGAGCTGTTAAAATTCTTTAGCAAAGCAAGCATTGAGTTATTCAATGAGTGCTGAAAGGCGTGAATTGATTAGAAGACGAGACAGTAGAGAGTGTTTCGCTGAATACAAAACTTGAAAATAGACATTTTTGAGTCGAAGAATATAGATTTGTGTCTGAATAATGTTCTGTAAGATTTTGCGATATCTGGGCAGAAAGATTAGGCCGGCGATGGACCGGATGTACCAGTGTTTGGCGAATCGATTGATTGGTGTCGATGACAGCAGTGGGATAGACGCACGACGAGTGCACGCGTTAGGCGTTGAAGACACCGTGGTTTTGTTGGACAATCAATGGATGGTCAAGGTGGACAGTGATGGCATCGCAGTCAGGGCACAGATGAAGAAGAAGACGAAGAAGAAGAAGACAGTCACTACTATTGGTGATAATACGGCTGAAGAATCGAAACCATTGCTCTCGTAATTGTATCTCTCATTATCGGCGAATCTTTTAAACTTTATGTTCTTTTAATTGTATAACAATTGCTCATTCGGTGCCAAAAATTTTAATATTTAATCTCAATCGATATGATAATCATTTATTCTTTCATTTAATGAATACCTGTTGAACTATAAGTTCCTTAATGTAACTTTGATCTCATTTTTCGCCGAAGAATCCTCTCTTTTAATAATTTTATAATTGTTCTTAATATTGAAATTTGATTTTTATAATAATTCGGCGAAAAATCTCGAGCTTAAGACTAATTGTGACTAAAATTTGATAATTTCATAACTATTTGTTACTTAATATTTCGCTGCCAAAGAGTAATCATTAATAAAAGTGTTTGAAAACTGAAGCATAATTTCAGTCATTGAATAATATATTAATAACGACGAGAACTCTAATAATGACGTAATTGTTGTACGGCTAGTGTTGCCTATCGTCTGTCAATTAGCGATCGAATGTCAAAAACTTTTTGAGGCATTGTTTGGACCTTTCGTTGAGTTAATTATCATCATTTGATCCGAGAAAATGGCCGAAAGACCGCCAACACCGCCGCAGCCGTCGACCAGAAGTGGGTGCGAGCTCTGCAAGGACTTGCAATGGAAACTAATGGGCACTATCAATGAGAAGAAACTTCTTAAAGGAGAGATTCAGCGCTTGGAGGGAATCATAGAGCGAATGGACGGCAATTTCATACAATTATCGGCGGATAAGAAGCGATTCGAGGATCAGTTCAGACGATGCAGTCATGAGTTGACACAAATCTACGAGTCGGTGCTTAACACACATGTCGGGACCCCGAAGATGGTCACCAATCAATTCAATCTGTTTAGAGCTAATGTTTCAACTGTTATCGGCGATCGCAATGAGACAATTGAAGAGATGGAAGGTCTGAGAAGACAACTGGAAGAGAGAGACGCCGACATCACTGGGAAACAGAAGCTCATCAATCGTTTGACAAGTGAGATCGCGGGACACAAGAAGCGATTGGATCAATTGCGTGAAGAACGAGACGCCGCAAAGGGAAGAGAAGTCGAGGCTTTAGCCAGACCGAGGCTTAGGGATACTCTCCCGGAAGAACAGCCGAGTCTATACATGAATGGCATCACTGGATCAGTTGTCGAAGCGACGATTCCAATCGCGCGCTTCAGAGGTCATGTGTTGAGATACGGGACACACGATGTGCACGACATGACTGTCGACACTTTTTTGCGCCGAATGGATGATACCATTGCGGGACAACTCATCGATGGAGTCACTCTCGATGACATTGATATGTTTGTCTGCTATGGAGTGCCAATCTATGGCCGACTCCTCAACTCGACTGGACGGCGAATAGCCCAACAATTCGCTGCGAGAGAAGTGCTGTTCGGAAGTGTTGTCACTATCAGTGTTGTCCGAAAAGGCGAAATCCCGATAATTGATGGCTTATCGACGATCAAAGTGACCGGAAGTGGAGCTCAAGACACGCCGTGGCAGCACAACGAAGGCTTCGATCAAATATCGGAACCACAGGAAGAAATCCCGATAGAAACTTGGGAAACAGAACAACCGGCGGACAGCAGAGACGTCGACATGATGAGTGAACAGATCCAATACCACGAGAAGATAATCAACAGAATGCTTCGCAAATACGGCAATGAAGTTCTCGAGATGATGGAACCAGAGTTCGGAGAGCCTCAAGAAATAGTGTTCGAAGAGCACATTGCAGTCGAACCGCCGTCAGGACAAGAACGAGAACTGATGGCCACTAACGACTCGATTATTGCCGAATCACTAGAAGGAGCAATCGGAGGAGAAATAATACGCGACGCCTCACAAGAAGGTGCTATCAAAGAGGAAGTTTTGATCGGTTTGCCGCCACAACAAGAACAGGAATTGGCCGCGAATGACGAGCAGGACATTACCGATAGACACCTCACTATTGCAGAAGAAACTAGAGTTCGACGACTGGCAAGAAGACGAGGACTCCATCGCGTAATAACTGTCGCTCAAAAAGAACAAGAAGTCGCCGAAGAGGAACCAAACATCACTGCGAGTGGACAACAGGCCATCAATGAGGGCATTGATGTGGAAGGAGTGGCAGATGAAGGCGAGAAACCGATTTCACCCCACAATCAAGAAGGCGAGGAAGCGATTCTACCCCTCGAGTGATGGACTCGTCTAAAGTTTTCGTCGATTTCATCATAACTTTTATTAGACATAAGTTTTATAATATAACTCTATAATTGTTTTTGATATTTATTTTACTCATTGATTTTGAACTCTCACTTGTATTACAAAAGCCAATGTTAGGCATATTTATTTCAAATGCATTGTTTCGCATTTCACTCAAAAATGTTAATCTTTTTACTCTATTTATGCTGTGATTGAAATTACTGTCGGCGAGCGTCAAAGGGATGGCTCTCAATATGAGATACATTTTTTTGTTTTTTCTGGGCTTAGATCCGGGATTGAGTTGAGAAACAGTTAGCCTTTGGAGAGAATCGACGACAGTATGGTTTTGGACTCGAGAGCGAGTAGTCCTATGTTTTAACACTGATTTCATTTTTTTGATTTTTAGTCAAACTTTTAAATTCAATTGTTTTAATGATTACTTAATTATTTTCGTCGATTCATTACTGGTTTTAACCATTTTATGTCATTTTATGTTGTATTCGTCGAAAAACTAAATAAAAAAGACAAACTTTTAATAATTATCGCGTTTTTTGTGTTGAAGTGGCGTTTAGTCGCCGTTTGGCCGCAAGGCATACCACTTGTCGTAGACCTTCACCCGATTAGTGGTCGTTTAGTCATTCATTTGCCAATCAATGGGAGTTGTCGTCGAAGAGCTAGTATTTTTGGGATCAGTTGTGAGACAATAAAGGGATAGTTGGGAACTGAGGTGTAGCCATATGTGGATCGCCGAGAGTTGAGTCAATGAGTCCAGAAGTTGTAGACATAACACACCCCCCGAAAAATAAGAGTTCTCGTCGATCAGTCCTGTAATCGGGAATAAGACTTTCCGCGGCTACATGTATCATGTTCAATATCGAGAATCTCTTTCAAAAGTGGCCCCAAAAGCGGTGAATTTTGTGACATATGTTTTATGGCTTTCTTATACATTTCCATCACTAATGTTATATCGTGTAAAATAGCCAACACTTGTCCGTACTTTACATTAGATTCTGTGCCGTATTTCACGTATAGATACCGTTGAAGTAAATACGCGTATAGTTTGTGTTGAAATCTATTAAATTTATAATTAATACAATTAATAGGTGTATGTATTTAATGATGATTTGCATTACATAACAGTCTCTTTATGGGAAATGTATGGCCGGTCGGCGTTGAACAGCAGCAGAGGCACCAACTGTTACATTCAAATCAGTCAATTAAACAACTATAATAATATAAATAATGCCTTATTTTACCATATTCATTATGAGATGATCTCCATCAATTGCATCGATCACTTTAAGCAACACTTGTTTAAACAAGTCATGCATTTCTACGGAAAATTCTTTATATAAATCCAATGGCATAACAGATGTTTCATTGCCCTGTAATGGTATAAAGTTCATAGTTTAAGATGGTAAAATTGTGCTTGATACAAACCCTTTTCATTAACCAACACTCGCTATTGTAATTATAATAATAAACACCATTTAGTAAACTGGCCTCGGGGCTGCTATACTTAACCATGGTCATTTGGTCGTCCGGACATATGCTGCTAAACGCTGTCAGCCGTTTCGTGTGATGTATGTAAGTCTCGATAAAGCTATCAAACCCTTGTCCGGCCATATGAACAAGGTCCATTACTGAATTGAACTTGGGCAATGGGTTGTCATCGGGATAAGTGGATCTCGTTTTTCTATAGCTTTCAAACTCTGGAGTAAATATGGATGTGTTTATCAACTCTTTCAAGCGATTGAATTCAATATTGTTTAGATTCTTGTAGTCGTCAATAGGTATGGGAACTGTTGCAGTGATTGGCACCAACTCTTGAGTTGTATGGCGTCGGCTATTAGTGCGTTGGGCTATACTGTTGTCCATTTGGCCGATAGTCTCGTCGCCGATAAAGTTTTCAATTTCCATAATATAATCTCTGATCTCATCGGCGGTTAACTCACACACAGAGCTCTCGTTTGTTTCCGCATTTGATGTATCGGGAGATCCGAAGTCAGTGTCGGCAGTGTTTGTATCACTATTTAAATCTACCGGTGATTTGATGTCATTATTGCATGAATTTGTGTCCGTATTTGATATTTCGGATGACTTATGAATCTCTGCCATAGAGTCCATGTCTTTAAGTCTTCGCTTACTTTCCCTATACTTTCTGTTTTCCTCCACTTGTTGTCTTCGGAACTCCTTTTCCTCTGCGGTTAGTATCCATTCCTATGAGATATTTGTTATACAAATGTATTGTTTTTATTATTAAATATATGAAAAATATTTAAATACTTTATTCATTCCGACGGCAAAACACTTTGAGAGCCGACATCTTCGGCATAACCTCCTGTTTAAGACATCGATCACACAGTGATTATTGTAACGACATTTGTATTTCTTTGCGATAAAATTATATTTAATTAATTATATTTGTAATTATTTATTCAGAATTTACCTCATATTTAAAGGCATGTCTTCGAAAGAAGGCCTTACATGACTGACAAGTAATGGCACAGAAATTATAGCCTAAAATAGTTGATAAATAAAATGTTAAATTATGTTTACTATGTTTTAATTACATACCGATCGCTGTTTCGCCACAAACTTCACAGTTTTTCATTGCAAGATATGTTTTGCATTAAATATAACACTAAATATAAATTAAATGTAATTATTAATTGTAATTATAAAATTGGTTTAGTTTAACAAAAATTTTATATTTAAATTATTCTGTAGTTGTTTTGAAACTATGTTTTTGTGTTTGTATAGTATAGTGAATCATATCATTATGTTTTTTATTAAATTACTGTATTTCTATACAATTCACGCAATAATCACTGAATTATAATCAAAATATTAATAAAACTTAGCAAATGCTATAATTTCACGAATAAACTAAACTTCATAGTTTAGTTATCTAATCAGTTGTTTAAACACTTACGTTATTATAATAACGCCTTGACTTTGACAATAGATAATAATGTTTTTGAAATAGAAATTTTTAAATAACATTAAATTTAATAATAATTCAATGTAATAAATGTTATTAATATAATTTTATATCTTGGACAAATTAAACCAGGATGTTCAAATAAATTGACAAATTTATTTACATTACATATTATTTTTTAAATTTCTACAAGTAATATAAAAATATTACATAAGTGTAACTAAATTAATGATTTGATGATAAAACTGTTGTAACATTTGTAACATTATTAATATTAATATATAGTGAATAAGTTTATTTCTTTTAGAAATAATTTTAATTTATTATCAGTTCTTAACTAAACTTTATTTGTTTTACGAATAATTGTCTAAATTGTGGTTTTAATACAAAATTTTTCTGATTCTCAAATTCCTGGGTATTTGTCGCTTAATAGTGAGATCTTTGGTATAGTCGTGAACAGAGATTGTGAACCATTTCTTCGGGTCTATTGAATACCAATTCATGAAATCATTGAGAAATATGGCCAAAATATCTTTAGTAAAGTCGCTTCGATGCAAATGAATGGCCGATAAATTGTGTAATTCATTGAGTGTTTTACACACAACGGCTGTCCTTTCGATCAAATTATTGCAATAAAGACCGAGTGTTTTGATTGTCGTGTGTTTTGCTATCAAATGAAACATTTGACGATAACATGTCTTACAATTGTTACCATTGATAGGACAAGTGATTGACGTGTTTTTTAAGACCAAAGTCTTAAGCGCTGGAAAGCATTTCATAAGCGCTTCAAAGGGCGTATCTTTTGGTCGACAGAAAGTGAGTGAAAGTGTTTTGACTGAAATAAATGGGATTAAACTTTTGGAGTATTGATAATCAGGAAAACTCTGAGCCTTAAGACCCAAATATACGAGATTTGTTTGCTTTTGAGCCGCACTTTGCAAACAATGCCATTCATTTGCGTGAATACCTGAACCATAAGACAATGCTTTCAATGCCATACCATTGATGAGTAGTTCTAATGCATCGGCGAATATCTCATATTTATAAAACGAATCCAAATGCTTAGTATTGGAGTCAAGCATTATTTGCACCAAATCTGTATCAAACACTGTTGGATATTTCATCTGGAGTGATTTAATACTTGGTGGCAAACATACCAATATGTCGGAGAGACTAATTACTTGATGTGAATAAATGTATAGATGTGTTAATCCGGTTAATTCTCGGATCAATTCAATTGGATTAACGTTTTCGTGTTGCAAGACATCAAAATGAAACCTTATGCCCAGTTTTGCAATCTTTGTTGACAATAGTCGTCCCAATGCTCTCATTTGCCAATCAGTGAATCCGTATGAAAAGCAAATGTATATCATTTTCAATGATTTCATGGCATCGAGAATGTCATAGAGTGTATGGAAATCGGTATCAAAGCGACCGATAGCCAGACATTCAATGTTTGGTAACTTTTGTTTTAACGAATGCACTCTTTCTTTACTCAGTTTAAGACTTGGCTCTCCCTCTGAATCTCTCTGAAGAATATGTGCCGGAAATGCAGTCATTCGGGGAATGATATCATCTTTTGGTAGATATCTATTCGTTTCAAAGCAACGGCTGATTGATATTGACTTCTGTTTGCGGAACCAATAGTTGGCGCAAAACTGGAACTGATTTGAGACTCTCTCCAGAGGTAACAACTCATGGATCTCGAGGTATGAAAAGATCTCAATCACTAAATCTTGATTTAAGACAACTGTCTTCAGATGTTTAGCACTCTTACCGTCGGTTTCGGCACACATTTTGAAAAATATTTTGAATTTTTTGTTTAAAATAATTTTAAAAATTAAAATTTTAAGCAACTACTTTTTTAGAAACAATATATTTGCCAAAATAGTAGTATAAATTTAAAAGTAATAAATTATTACTTGAATTTTTGATTGAATGTATTATTTATATTATGGCAGAATTATTTATTAATCTTCATGAAAAATGATTGGTTTGCAAAAATTATAAAACTACAGCAAAACAATTAATAATAAATTAACTCGTTTTACCAATAATTGTCTAAACTTTGGCTTTAATACAAATTTCTTCTGATTCTCAAATTCCTGGGTATTTGTCGATCAATACTGAGATCTCTGGTATTGTTGTGAACACAAATTGTGAACCATTTCTTGGGATCTATTAAATACGAAACGATGAAATCATTGAGAAATAAGTCCAAAATATGTTCGGTATATTTGGTTCGATGCAAATGAATGGCCGATAAATTGTGAAATTCATTGAATGTTTGACACAAAACGGCTGTCTTTCCGATCAAATTATTGCAATAAAGAGCCAGTGTTTTGATTGTCGTGTGTTTTGCGATCAAATGAAACATTTGTGCAAAACATGTCAAAGAATTGTTACCATTGCTATGACAAGTGATTGACGTGTCTTCTAAGACCAATGTCTTAAGCGCTGGAAAGCATTTCATTAACGATTCAAAGGCCGTCTCTTTTGGTCGACAATCAAAGAGTGAAAGTGTTTTGACTAAAGAAAATGGGTTTAAATTTTCAGAGTATTGATAATCAGGAAAACTCTGAGTCTTAAGGCCAAGATATACGAGATTTGTTTGATTTTGTGCCGCACTTTGCAAACAACGCCATGAATTTGTATTATCTCGTAATTCATATGAAAGCGCCTGTAATTGCATGCCATCGATGAGCAGTTCCAATGCGTTCGGCCATAAACTATAGGTATAGATATTAGAGTATTATGCATACAATCCTGCCCATAGAAACTTATGTTATACATTGAAACCCATGTTATTTCTAGTGCTAACCCCCCGTCAATTTTCCTCTCCCTACTCGCGCACTGTTTTGACATTCCAGAG